CTATTTTGAATCTAAATAAATTTTTTTATTTTTTATATTTGATTTGATATTATATAAATTTATATTTAATTTAATTTAATCTGAAATTAATAAAATATTATTTTTAATATAAATATAAAATTAAATAATTAATTTAAAAAATTATATATATTAGATTAAGTTGAAACAGATTTATTTAAAATTTGATTTTAAATTTTTTTATTATTATCTTATTTAAAATTTAATTTAAAAAAAATTTTTAAAATCGAATTAAATCAAAATCAACTAAAATGACTCTTAGGTTATCATTTTTAATTATAGTTATAATTAAAAAATATTATAATTACGATTAAATAAAATTATAAAAAAATTAATATTAAATAAATTTTATTAAAATTAATATTTAAATTTAATTACATCGCATTAAAAATACAATGAAATTCAAAATACTACTAAATTAATTGTCAATTGAGATAGTGTGATCATTTTAACCGAATTGATGCGTTGGATCCATCTAAATTTTCGAGTCATACATCAATTTGGCTCGACCACCTTAATTGACCACCAGCTGTCACGTAAAGCCACTTACTTATTACCTCCCGTTTAGATCGTTATCTACCAATTTAGTTTGAGCCTACGACATCAATCTTAATTCCTCTAAACCCAGTTCGGGTCACCTAAACTCAAGATCTTCCGTCGCACATTATGTAACCTTAGCTTCCATACTCACTTTTATAGCTGCTTGGCACGCCAACTGAATCTGATCTCGGGTTTCTCCTAAAAGATGAGGCAAAAAGATATCATGCTGCAGCTCCCTGCAGATTCTCGCCAGCCGCTGGCGAATATTTTCCCACATTTTCATCCATTAGCTATTGATCTCATTGACAGAATGTTGACATTTGATCCCACCATAAGAATTACTGTAAGTTCCACGTTTACCATCATGCTTTTATGGATTAATAAACTTAATTTATTAACTACAATTATACGATTTTGTTGTAGAATAAAATGAACTCTGTTTGGTAATCATTATGGAAATGAAATCCGCACCGCATCATCATCATCTAGTTGAAACTCAAATTTGTATTGGCTGAATTAGGTAATTCTTTGTTTTTCTTACTTGAAAGTTAAATTTGTCTGTAGACAGTTGAAGAAGCCATGGGCCATTTTTATCTTGAAAGATTACACGACATAGCTGATGAACCAGTCAGCCCTGAGCCATTTTCTTTTGATTTTGAGCAGCAACTACTGGGAGATGAGCAGATGGACATAATTTACGAGAAGGCCTTAGCTCTGAATTCAGTAGGCCTGAGAATCTTAAAATATGATACGAAAACAGGGGCGAAGCCAGTATTTGGACGAAGGGGGTCAGAATAATGAATAATATTACAACGGTCCAAAGAGTTAAAAGAGTGCTTTAACCATTCAATATCAATTGAGATGAACATTTTATTTTTATTAAAGTAAAAGTGATGATCAAATTGAAATTTGGATGAAAAATTTAAAAGAAATTTATTTTGATAAAAACTTTAAGGAGATGATGTAAAAAATATGTTAATAAGACACATAAATATAATAATAAAATAATTCAATTTATTTGATATCATCACCCTAAATTTTTTTGCACAAAAATTAATTAAGTTTTGAAAATATTATCTTATCTAATTAATTCTTTAAAGTATTATTTTTAATTTAATTAAATCCTATTTATTTAATAAAATTTAGCTAAATTAATGTAAAATAAAGATTAATTAAACAAAAATAATTTTTTAGAGTTTAATTGAACATAATAAAAAGATAAAGGTTTGTTTGAAAAAGTTAAGAAAGTATGAGGCCTATTTAGTATTTTAGCCAATACAAAATTAACAGAAATGATTATCCTTGCTAGAACTAACCAGTAACAACATATTTTTAAAAGGTTAAAATACTTTAAAAACTCTTAAATTATTTATTTTTTAAAATAAATTTTTAGATTTTAATTTATATTCAAATAAATTTTTATTTGAAATAAGAAATAATTATATTAATGATTTATTTAAGTACAAATTAAAAATTTAAGAACTTATTTAAGTATATATTAAAAACCAAAGACTTATTTCAATGTAAATTAAAAATTAAAATTTTTTTTGAATAAAATAAAAGTATAAAAATTTATATAAATAAAATTATACAATTCAAAGGATTTTTTTTATTATTTTAATCTTTTAAAATTGAAGAGACATTATTGTTTAGCTTGTGTGTTTCCTTAAAGATGATCCGAAAAGAAATCATTAAACTAAAATAGTAATATGATTAATCATGGCAATGGTTAGGTGGGTAAGGATATTTCTCGTCTCGATTTGATATAATTTACATTTGATTTCGATACCTAAATTTTTTTTTTTTATATTTAACTTGATTTATATATATATAATTACTTGGTTTGATTTAAAATTAATTTAATAATTTTAATTTATTATAATATTTATAAAAATATTTTTTAATATAAATTTTTTTAATTATACATAAATGTAATATTAAATAAATAATAAATATTATATATATATATATATATACTGAATCAAATTTACCTAATTTAAAAAAAAAAAGTGATCCAACCTTTATCCTGATTAAAACAAAACGACTCCGTAAGGGCAGATCAAATCCAAATCCAAGGTTTCCGATAGATTTACTGTCCCTAAATATGATCAGTAAGAAAACCTTTTTTTACCACAACCGGGTAGGAATGGATCCGAAAAGGTTGGTCATGGGTCGAAAATAACGGGTTGTTTGTTCCCAGCTTCGAGAGTGTTTGGGGGGGTGTCTTTGCAAATTTGAAAAGTTTAAACAGCCAGAGTTTAGGGTTTCTCACTTTCTCAAGAAAAAAAAAAGAAAATAAAGATTTTCACTCCCGATCAAACGATCAATCTCTCACAGTCTCACTCCAATCTGCGAAGACTCCTTTTTCCCTTAAAATTTTTCATCTTTAATATCCTTTTCAACCCATAATTTTCCCTTCAGTTTTTTCAAGATTTATATTTGCAGGTACTGCCTTGGAAAATTCATGAATTTGATCAACAAGTTAGTATCTTTCTGCTCTTTTTCAACCTCGATTTCTGTTTTTAGATGATTCTGAGTAATGGGTTTTCTTTAATATTAGTTCTCATGCTCAATCGTTGGAGTTTCAGTTTTTCAGCTCTTTGATTGTTTTCTTTGTTGTCATGGATATGAGGAAAAGGCATTGTTTTGGTTCAATTCCTTGTTTTTCTTATATTTTGTGTGAACATGTGTGTTCATTTGTATGCATAGTTATGTACAGAACAATTTTTGAGTGATAATTTAGGGCCTTTAATCAGTTTGAATGTTCGGTTTATGCCTTTATGATGATTAGCTAGCTGTTACTCCCTTTGATTTTCCATTTAGTATTTTGCATTAATAGTTCCATGTAGTTGGCTAGAAAGATTTGGCAATAGCATTACTTGATGAACTTTAATACCTTTAAAAGGTTATGTTAGTTGTGTGTATGTGTGTGTGTGTTTGTCAGAGCGCTGGCTTTTTTATTATGTTGTACTGAATTTCTTCTTATTGGCTGACAGAAAGCAAGTGCAGATTGCTTCAAAAAGAATAGAATACGCCAGGTACTAAAACATAATTTGCTCACAAAGAAAGACATTTTAATGAAATAGTACTGTGCGGTGGATTAGTATGGATGTCCATGTGATTGATTCAGAAGAGGGTATGAGCCATCGTGGAATGTCAGATGATGGGGATGCTGAACCCGGTGAAAGTGGAGAAGCAAATCATGATGAGGATGGGATTTCTGAGCCATATGTTGGTATGGAATTCGGTTCTGAAGATGCTGGTAAAACTTACTATGATGAATATGGTAGACGTATGGGATTTAGCTCCAAAGCTGGTCAGCTTACGCGTTCCAAAACTGATGGGACAATAGTTGCTAGGGAGTTTGTCTGCAGCAGAGAGGGTTTGAAAAGAAGATCTGCTGACAGTTGCGATGCAATGCTTAGAATAGAGTTAAAGGGAGATAAGTGGGTTGTTACAAAGTTTGTGAAGGAGCATAGCCATTTAGTGATGAGTCCTAGCAAAGTGCATTACCTTCGTCCCCGCAGGCACTTTGCCGGTGCTGCAAAGACCATGCCTGATAGTTACCAAGGAGTGGGAATTGTACCAAGCGGTGTGATGTATGTTTCTATGGATGGAAATCGTGTCTCCATGGATGCAAATAATCGTGGTGTTAGGAGCACTCCTCCAGCAGAAGCAAACCGCGCAGTTAAGAACATTGGGACACCGAATTATACTGTAAGGCCAGTTAACAGAAAGAGAACACTGGGAAAGGATGCTCAAAATCTGCTTGATTATTTCAAGAAAATGCAGGCCGAGAACCCTGGTTTCTTTTATGCAATACAGCTGGATGATGATAATCACATGGCTAATGTGTTTTGGGCTGATGCAAGGTCAAGGACAGCCTATATGCATTTCGGTGATGCTGTGAAACTGGATACAAGTTGCAGAGTAAATCAGTATAGGGTGCCCTTTGCTCCATTTTCAGGGCTGAACCATCATGGTCAGACAATTTTGTTTGGTTGTGCATTACTACTAGATGATTCTGAGGCTTCCTTTGTTTGGCTTTTCAAAACATTTCTTACAGCAATGAACGATCGTCAACCTGTCTCTTTAATCACTGATCAAGACAGAGCCATACAGATAGCAGTGTCTCAGGTGTTTACAGGTGTTCGACACTGTATTAATAAGTGGCATGTTTTAAGAGAAGGCCCAGAGAAGTTGGCTCATATTTGTCATGTGCATCCTAATTTTCAGGTGGAACTGTATAATTGCATAAATTTGACTGAAACTATTGAGGAGTTTGAATTATCTTGGAGTTCTATTATTGAAAAGTATAAACTTAGCGCACATGATTGGCTTCAGTCATTATATAGTGCCCGAGCTCAATGGGTCCCTGCCTATTTTCGGGATTCCTTTTTTGCTGCAATATCTCCCAATCAAGGATTTGATGGCTCTTTTTTTTATGGTTATGTGAATCAACAAACCACAATACCTATGTTCTTTAGACAGTATGAACGAGCAATAGAGAACTGGTTTGAAAGGGAGATTGAAGCTGATTTTGACACAATTTGTACAACACCACTCCTGCGGACACCATCACCAATGGAGAAACAGGCAGCAAATCTATATACAAGGAAAATATTCACAAAATTTCAAGAAGAACTAGTTGAAACTTTTGTTTACACTGCTAATAGAATTGAAGGTGATGGAGCTATTAGCACATTCAGAGTTGCAAAGTTTGAGGACGACAACAAAGCTTACATAGTTACATTAAACTATCCTGAAATGAGAGCTAATTGTAGTTGTCAAATGTTTGAGTATTCAGGCATCCTCTGTAGGCATGTTTTGACAGTCTTCACTGTGACAAATGTACTTACACTACCATCTCATTACATCTTGAAGCGATGGACACGAAATGCAAAGTCTGGGGTTGGAACAGATGAACGTGGTGGTGAATTGCCTTGCCAAGAGTGCCTAACAGCACGGTATAATAGTTTATGTCGGGAAGCAATTAAATATGCAGAAGATGGAGCAATAGCTACAGAGACTTATAATGTTGCCATGGGTGCTCTTAAGGAAGGTGCGAAGAAGGTTTCTGTTGTAAAGAAAAACGTTGCACCCCCTGGCCAGGCCAGTGGTGCTGCCTATAATGACAGGAAGAGCTCAAATTCTGCTCCAGATACAGCCCCTTTGCTGTGGCCTCAGCAAGATGAAATTTCACGGCGATTCAATCTTAATGACACTGGTGCTCCAGCTCAATCTGTCTCAGATTTGAATCTGCCACGTATGGCACCGGTTTTCCTTCATCGGGATGATAGTCTTCCTGATACCATGGTACCATAAGTAATTCTTTTTTTAATGTCATTTCATTTATTCTTTGGCTTTGAGCTGAAGAACAGGATTTGACTTGATAAATTTATGGGTTTCTTTAATGTAGCCGGTTCTTCCTTGTTTGAAGTCAATGACTTGGGTAATGGAGAATAAGAATCCAACATCTGGAAATAGAGTGGCAGTCATTAATTTAAAGGTATGTGTATGGTAAATTTTACTAGCCAGTGAGTACATAAAATCCAGTCACAACTTAGTTGCATTAACCTTTAAAAATTATAACCTCCAAATTAATTGCTGAAGTACATGGAATTGGAGCCCTTTAAAACTGTTAGGCTTATGTCTGCCATCATGGAGTGCACAGCTATCATTAGTCATTACTCTTTTTGTCACTTATTTTAACTTATTTCGGCCTTTTTCTTATGCATATTCGATATATAATTGATACAGTTGCAAGATTATAGCAAGAATCCATCAGCTGAATCGGAGGTTAAGTTTCAGCTCTCAAGGGTTACTTTGGAACCTATGCTGAGGTCTATGGCTTATATTAGTGAACAGCTTTCCACCCCGGCTAATAGGGTTGCTGTCATCAATTTGAAGGTATGGCAATCCATAATCAAGCTATACTCTTCCAAAATGATTATGATATTTGAGCAAATAAACCTATAATATTTTCTGAGAAGTATTCAAAAACTTATGGATAAAATGCTTCAAGATGTGAGACTGACCAATTTTTATTCTATAAAGCATTTTCATGTGTTGTGTATTGTGTACTAATCTGCTTGTAATGTTGGATTTGTAATGGAATTATGTTGAGTCTAAATTTGTGATTGTGGAAATGAATATATGATTTGACTCTTGCTTTAACATCTGTGTTCATGATGCAGCGGTAGTCAACTTGGCTCAATGATTTATTGCTTTTGTTATGGAATTGCTTTGTTACTTTTAATACATAAATTCTCTTTCCATTGGACAACAAAGCATCGCTTTTGCTGTTTTTTTTTATATATATACCTTCTAAACACCTCAGTATCTGTCTTTTGCTTATTAGGGTTTTTTTTTTCATCTTCCATTGCAGCTTCAAGACACCGAGCCTACTACAGGAGAGTCGGAGGTTAAATTCCAGGTGTCCAGGGATACATTAGGTGCAATGTTGAGATCGATGGCCTACATTCGGGAGCAGCTTTCAAATGTTGTAAGTGTCCTATTCCTTCACAAAGAAAGTTTGATGTAATGGATACAGAATTACCCTCAATTCCTCTTCAATCATCCTGTCTTCAGCCATTTCGTTTTAGGACCTCTCACTTTTGGAATTTACTTTCACTTCTTGATGGTGTATCATTTTCTTTGTTCTCTGATTGCCATGGAATTTCACATTTTGCAGAGTGAACCACAAGCAGAGCCTTTATCAAAGAAGCATAGGAAATAAAGGCATTGAAGTTGGGATGAGTCTCTGGTCTTTCATTGGTCACAGATTGCAAAGATGATGGGATGCTCTTGCTTGTGGCCTGTATTGAATGGATTTTTTCTTCTGTATAATTTTTTCCTCCTCTTTGTAAGCAGCTCGTTGTGTAACATTTATGTACATGTAGAAAAGTGAATTCAATCATAATGTTTAGTCTGGCTTACACATTTTGTGTAGTGAATTCAACCATTGCCGTAGTCTTGGGAGCATGCATCAGTTTGGCTGAAATCAGGGTCATGATTATGCGCCTATTCAAGTTTTTCATAACAAAACAGCCAAAATCAGAGCCACTGCCATATCCAGTTCTTAAGATACTAACTTATTATCAATAAAGACAGGAACCATTTTATTATTAAGTATGAAATGCTCAGCTCTTTTTAGCACTAAGAAGATCAAAAGTCCATTTTACAGTAAATACAAGTTTGTTAACCATTGTATGGCCCCACCCCCATGTTCATAATCATCTCTTTTCAAGTCAGTTATACAGAAGACAGCTCGCATCGATTACATAATTTTTTGGTGAAATCACAGCAGAAGAATGAATACTTGAGGAATAACAAAGAGAAGCAGCTAGTGTTCACCTGGCAAGATTTAAGAATTCTTCACGTTTTAACGAAATGGTACAAGGTCGATGCTTCTCTGGTAAGACAATCGAAAAATAACAGCATTTGACCTTGTACTGTTCGATGAATAGCTTTCTGCCTCTGTCAGATACATTTTAGTCTTGCTATCCCTCCGTTTCTAATACCTACAAGCTCCTGTAGTCTATGACGGTGACTTCGTCCTCAGGTGCATCTAGGTCCTGATAACTGCATTACATAAAACAGGGCAAGCTTTACTAACCTGACTGTACAAGAGAAATACAATAAAATCCAAATGCAGAACATAGTACCTCTCTCTCTTACCAAACCAAAAGAAAAAGGAGAGACTGCTCTAGTTGCATTTATCAGTATAGGCAATCAAACTTTATGAGGTAAGAGAGCTTAGAAACCATGAGTACGAGTCCCAGGGGAGAAGAGGGATGGGGAAGGAATGTGGTGGCCTTTGAGCATATTGCGTTGTCAACATAGATTTCAAAAGACCAGGATCACATGCACATCACCCAATCAAAACACCGTTTGATATTTCATTAGTTACATAGGACACTAGTGCCACTTCATGATTTATAAATAGCAAGTTTCCAACCTCATTTTGAAAAAATCCATTGAGGAACAGCATATATCCCAACACTATATACAATTAACAAATATATTTTGAATTTATCAAATCATAAAATTTAGGAACATGAAGCAAGCTATACAATAATGTATTCGAGCAGAAAAGTATTAAGGTTAAGCTCTGCAAGTAAAATAGCTGCAGCACATACCAATGGTTTGCAAACAGTCCCAAGCAAACTTACCTTCGTAAACGCCGAGGATCCTGTCGGAAGCCAGGAGGCAGAAGAAAGGGAGCAGGTCCACTTAAATTAGGTCCAGGATGTCCACTTCTACTATTACCTTCAAAAGGAGTACCACCCCGCTCTCTGAACACCTGAATTGCAAGTTCAGGTGGTGCTGGAACGAAAGGCCCCAATGGACTGCAATTACACACATATAAGCCCTCAAGAAAATATAAGCTAACTACTGCTACTTGTAGAAAAGCATAAGACCCACCCAGCACCAGGAACAGGCATCAATACCGGCGGAGGAGCAATATCTGAAGAAAACGAAGCAGCAACATGCATTCCTTGTCCACCAAAAGCATCAAACATTGGATCATCATGATTCCCCCCATCAGGACCATTATTGTTGGATAGAAAATCACTTGATTGAGGGTTCTCAGACCTATCATATCTATCACTACCATTTGCTCGATTATCACGTTCTCTACGTGAGCCACGTTCATCTTTCAAGCGATTTTCCAATATTTTACGTCTCTGGGGTATGTCTTTCTGCAAGAAGAAAAAATTACAAAAATGAGGTTAAAAATCAGTACGAGCAATCATAACATCAAAACAACAACAGTTCTAGCATACCGGTACAGATTGCTGCATAATTGGTGTCCCTCCTGGTGCATCTGGATCACTGTAAATGGCAACAATGTATATCTTGTAGAAGTATCTTTTAAAATAAAAAAAATAAACAACAATATGCTGCAAGCAAGACCACACTTACTTCATGTAGTTCTGCAAATAAAGCTCTTCACACACTTTAGACGTTAGCTCCGTCGCAAGCTCTGGATGTTTGATTTTAAGGTGCTTGTGCACGAATTCTGCAGCATGAAAGAGCTTTGTGCAACCCTTAGCACCACAACCATACTTCCAACCATACTTTTCATCCCTAATCTTCCGGACAAAAGGATCCAAAGCTTCAACGGCAGCAGCATCTATTTTGTCCTTAGCAGTCATTAATTCCAAAGGATCTTGACCCCTCAATCTCTCTTGCCAGCATGAGTCGAGTTTCTTTTCCCACTCAGATCCATTACTTGTCACATCAGAACTCTTTCCCTCTGCTCTAATGTGCCTAAGACCCTTTGCTTCACTTATTTCAATCATTCCATAATAATCCAAGCCATGGACACGCCACAAGTAAGTTATAAGTGTATCGAGAAGCTCAACACCTTCCAGGCCCTTCACAGAAGTCAAGCCACGTACAATAATCACAGGGCCAGTCAAACTACCATGAGATTTATCTCTATTTATTTTGTCATTGTCAGAACTACTTAAAATATTTTCCTCAATTGCTTTTTCAGAGTCCAGTTTACGTACAAGGCCCTGTGCTTGTTCAATGTCAATCTGAATTCTTCTGGGGTCAGAACTAACCGGGTGAGCCTTCGAAGCAGCAGAAAGATCAGTTTCTTTAGCAGGTCCCCTACCATGCCGCCTTCTTTTGTTACCAACATCTGCTTCATCTTCAGAATTAGGATGATTGGTCTGTCCTGATTTATTTGATGACAAGGCATTGACACCAGGACTTCTGCATCACAAACATAAATTATTGGTCAGCAGCTGGAAAATAATATGTCGGGAGCCAGGTTGAATATGCATATAAAATAAGTGAACACGGAATGCCAAACTTACAAGTCCAGTGTTCCACTCTGCAGATCAAGCAAAAAGTCCTTCGCAAGTTTGCGTGCAAGCTCATTCCTCCTAAACAAAAAAAGAAATCCCAAAAAAAAAAAAAAAAGAAATTGAAGAAAGAATCCAACAATTGCATGATAAAATGACACCTAATCCATCAATAACACCATGCTACATAATGCACGGTAGAGGGGGTCCATCAGCTTACTAACAAATTCATGAACTGAAACATCATGAAATATGCAAGTACAACTAACCTTTCAATAACAGTGACCAAGTTTATTGGATGATATTTGTCTCTCACCCTACATACATAATCAAGTCTAATTAGTACAATGAGGTGTACAAAGAGTCAGGAATTAGTAACAATGGGAAGTACCATTCCTCATCTTTGTGAGCATCAAAAAATGCTTGTTTTTGGGTAGATATATACTCTGACTTGTATTCTTGGTACCTACAAAGTAAAAAGCCACAGTTACTTAACATTCCATTTTTTTTTTAAAGCCGCAAGTCCCAAACAAGATAAAACCAAATTGACAATGTTATTCCTCATTAGTACCTGCGCTCAGCTTCAGCTGGTAGTATATCATCCTCAAGCTCTTGAATGAATTGCTTGTACGACATCAATCCTTCTCTGAAAATTTTACTTGTCATTCCATATTACGGAATGAGATAAATATAGATCCAACAATCAAATGATAAGAACAATTATGAAATTCGCCTCAATTAAAAGAGAACTTGAATGATGCCAACAATGCAATGAAATGAAAAGTAATTCAAACCTCATTTAATACAAGAGTCCCTAAACAAGATGGAAACCTAACCTTCGTGTACTCCCTGAATTGGAAGCATCACCATAACCAACACAGCCAGAATCCCAATCTGCAGATGCAATATCATTTGGCAAAATAAAATGAAGGAGAAAAAAAATAGAAAAGACGGATAAAAAGTTGTTGCTGCGGCATAATACAATAATGAATTATCACCCTACGGAATTTTAGAAGGAAAACAATTACTCATCATAGTGTCATCATTAACAGCAATTATGCATCATTTCATAGATGCCCAAAGTTATTTTGATCATATGCATCTCAATACTTTCCAAAATGACACTACTATCTAAAAGAGGCAAAAAGGTAAACCTGAGAGCAAAAGACCAGTTTTGAGTTTTGACCCGTTGTTAATCTCCAATTCTCATAATTCATCACATGAAAATGAACTATTCCTAACCAGAAGGAATTTGCGGGCTTCAAAAATGAAATTATTGGCAAAAGTGAATTCTCTATATAATTAACACTAAACATAATAATTCAAGATTTTGTACTAAAAACTAAAATTGAAAATTTTACTGCAAGAAATTATAGTAAAGTGTAATAGAACCTTTTAAATTATAGTAATAATACATGGCAAAAAGAAGGCAAATACAAAAGTCAAAATAAAAGTGCTTCAAGATTATTCCAAGTGCAATAATTGAAGTTTGAGGAAATTTGAAAGTAGTTAAGCAGTTTCTAGAAAGGACCACCTTGATAGCCACCGGAAGAGTGACCAAAGTACCGGCCATGAGGCCTTTCTTCAGGGTAACCAGGCCTTCCCATCATCTCACGATCATATCCACCACCAGAGTCATAACCACACCTGCACCACCAAAAGTGTTTTACAGCATGAGCAAATCTGAATATAGCCAAAACTACTGAGTGAAAATAACAAATCATATACAAAAGTGTCATAATAGATAAGCAAAATAAGAATACAAACAGAACTTCAGAGACAAAATAATGAATCATTGTCAAATATAGAAGATACACCAGATACAGAGCAATATGAGAAAACTGAATGAATGATTTTAAGGTAACATTATAGAAAACAAAAAGTAAGTGTCAGATATTCACAGGCAATCCAGTATTTTGTGAAACAATGCAGCTTCCAATAATAGGAAAAAGAAAATCCCCTCGTTACGTTGACAAACAAGGGATCCCTGCAATGTGTAAGCCTTATCAAGAAG